CTTCGGGAGATGTTACAAAGTTCTTCCAGGGTTGCTAAGAGATGCTCAAAGGGTATCCCACTCCACTGTATGCCTCAAGCCCTGTGGGTCAGCAAACCTAGATCCCTGAATTATGTGCCCTGAGGCACCCGACTCCACTGAGCCTCAGTCTAAAAGTGCTCAGCTCTGCTTTTGTGGGTCAGCAAGTCCAGCTACCCCAAGTGAGTGCCCAAAGGCACCTCATTTCATGAGTCAGTGCTTTGCCCCAAAGCACCCAGCTTTGCTTGCTCCTTCGACTGGGAAGTCCATCGCTTTGTTTCATGCTCTGGCTCCTGGTTCTGCTGCTGCTCCTCTGATGGTGTAGCTGTCTTCTGCGTCCAGACAGCTCACTGCACAGGAATCTCAGGTCTAGAGGACAAGCTTTGCTCCTGGATATTGCTGGTCATGAGACACCCCCACCCCACTGCCCCTGATTTTTAAAGGACTCATTTTCTATCCAACAGGACTGCATTCCAGCAAATCTTGTTTACAGTCTCATGGGTGAATCCTAGCAGCATCTTCCCCACCTTCTTACCAGACCCAGGCAGGGAAAGGGCATTTGGTGGGAGTAGAGACTTTCGTTAGACGAGCCCCATTAAATCATTCACTCTCCCAGCAACCGTGCCTTGGATCAGGCATGCATTAGTCCTCAGAGAGACCTGCTGGTGTTTGCACCAGATTGGCCCCTGCCTTTGACTTCTTAACTGCTGTTTCCATGGGCATCGATCCCGGGTCCAAGTAAAAGGAAGTCCTTGATCCCTTCAACAATCAAACATCTCAGATCGTTTTTTTAAAAATTGTTTTGTCATACTCATATTGTTGAGGGCTACCCTTGGATTCACAACTAGTCTGCCTGGGTGGGTCAAGTTTGGGAGTTCCTCACGTGATAGGGGATTTGCACTAGAACCTCAAACCTGTTCTCTCTAGAGGCATAGCACCAGCCAGTAGGAAAGCAGGACGGTTTCCTGGAATGCAATTTCTGCTTTGCAGGTTCCCTTGCAGCCAGGTTTAGCCCTGACATGGCGTTCTGCCCACGAGACTTATCTGAAAGGAAGTGGAGTGAGAACATCTCAAGGTGGGCTTTCTACAAAAGGCAGTGCATCCACCATTACTATGTCTTCTCTCCTGTCGGCTGGGATGGGAATCCCAGAGCTGAAGTCCTAAGAGTTACCGTGTACCATGAGATGGTCTTCGCCGTGGCCTTTGTGTGAGCTAGGGCAAGAGCCCACGCGAGTGTGCCACCCTGACACTGGGGAGTGATGTGACTTATGGCTGCCAGACTTCTTAACTGGGCAGAGAAGGAGCCTTCTGTGTTCGTGTGGGTAGAGAAACAAATTCAGAGACACCCATGAATAGGTAAGAGAGAGCTTTATATCAAAGAGTAATTGTATATTAAGAAAACATCCCAGCCCAGTTCAGATCAAGTCTATAAGTCTGATATTAGCCCATATGTATGACACCAGTCTATGAATTCCTCTTCAGACTCATGCAGCACATGCTGATGCCGAATACAGTTAGATCACAGGTCAGTGGGTGGAAAGTCTTGTGGATCCAGTGGCGGTGTAGGCATCTCAGAGCTGGCCTGGCTCAGCTCCATCAGAAATGTGTAGCAGAGAGTGTGTCCCACCTCCAAGGAGGAAGGCAGGAGTTCCAAGAATCCTCAGGAGAAGGGCATGCCTACACAGAGGCCTCTTTGGCTATGACCTGATTAACAGGCTAGACTCCAACCCTTCACTCAAGTTGACAGGAGATTAGGTAACTGCCACACCTGCAAATCATTTTCAAGCCACTGGTTAGTTGAGATTTTCTGAATTCACTGCAGGATCTAAAATGAAGCCTAATGGACTATCGTAGAGTTTTCCTCAAGTTTGCATATCCATTATTACAAGCAAAGTAATATGAGACAGCAACCTGAGTTCAATCTACAGTCAACAGAAAAGGGTCTCAAGACCCAGAAAAGTGAAATCAGTTGCTCAAGGTAGCATATATCCATTAGGCTAGGGAGGGGACCAGGATTTAAACTCAAGCCTCCTGGCTTCAGTCATCAACGGTCTTTTGCTAGGATTATTCCTGGTGGCTGAGCACCCAGGTGCTCTGCAGAAGCAGTGTGTTGTGCTGAAAAGAGAGGGCATAGCAGCCTTTCCTTGGGCAGGTCCATGTCCACAGCGGGCTGGTGGCTGGCTTCTAGGAGCCTGTCTGCAGGAGGATGCTCACCATCCCTGGGACTCATCAGAGGGGCTCTTGGTGCCTCAACCGGATGGACAATGTGGTTCCTGCAACCACCTGCTTTCCTCCTGGAAGGGTGAGATTTGGGGTATAGAGTGGGCTGCTGGTGTTTGCCAGGCCAGTCTCTTAACAAAGCCCTGGGGACTGAGTGTCCCTGGCACTGAGCTGTCACAGCGCACAGCTGGGAGAAGCAAGTGCATCCAGTGTGACAGTCCTGAAAGAGGAAGGACTCTGGGCTACGTGCATCTGGTCTCCTTTGGATTCACCTGCAAACCTTCCCCAGCGCCGAACTTGCTCTGTGTCCTTCCGGGGTCCTAGGCCATAGGCTCAGGTGGACGCTGTCCAGAGGAGTCCTTCTAGAAGACTCTGATGGAGGTCTCGGTGGTGCCTGCCTCGAAGGTGAAAACCAAGTAGGGGCCACTGGCCAGATTTGAGCAGAAAGATAATTCTCCTCAACTAGCAGAGAAATTTATCTCCCTCTATTAAATGTACGAAAGAGGCGCCCTGGCAGCCCAGTGTTTACACATTGGGCTGTGATCTGCAAGGTCAGTGGTTCGAAACCACCAGCTGCTCCGTGGGAGATAAATGGGGCTTTCTACTCCTGGAAACAGTTTGAGTCTCAGAAAGTCAAAGAGACAGTCCCACACTATCCTCTATGCTTGATATGAGTCGGCATCGATGCAATGGCAGTGAGTCCTACAAGTACGGAGCCCTGGCAGCACAATGTATTCTGAGTTGGGCTGTTACCTACAGGGTCAGCGGTTCGAGCCTACCAGCTGCTCCACAAGAGAAAATCGAGACTTTCTGCTTCTGTCAAGATTTACAGCCTTGGAAACTCAGAGGGGCCGTTCTATTCTGCTCTGTAGGGTTGCTATGAGTCAGAATGCTGGTCAATTCTATAGGGAGGGCTGAGTCACAACAGAAGGTGCTGGCTGGTGCAAATGTTTAGTCGGTAATGTACTTGGCATGAAAATGTAGGAGGTCTGAGTCCGCACACAGGTGCCTCAGAAAAAAGGTCCTGGAAATCTATTCCAAAACAGCAGCCATTGAAAACTGTATGACCATATAACCACAGGTGTATTTGGACCCACACAGGGCTTCCACACATTGAAAGTGACCCATGTGGACCTGGTCGTTGTGGTAATGTGTTGTCGTTAGGTGTCATCAAGTCAACTCCAACTCACAGCGACCCTATGCACAACAGAACAGAACACAGCACAGTCCTGGGCCACCTGCACCATCGTTTTTATGTTTGAGCCCATTTCAGCCACAGTGTCAATCCCTATCATTGAGGACCACCCTCTTTTCTGCCGCCCCTCTCTACTTTACCAAGCTCGATGCCCTTTTCCAGGGACTGGTCTCTCCTGACAACACATCCAACGTATCTGAGATGAAGTCTCACCATCCTTGCCTCTAAGGAGCATTCCGGCTGCACTTCTTAGACAGATCTGTTTGTCTTTTTGGCAGTCCATGGTGTTTTCCGCATTCTTCTCCAGCACTGGTTCTTCTCTCTGGACTCGGTCTTCCTTAATCAATGTGCAACTTTCACGTGCATAGGAGGCCAGGTGTACCTGCGTCCTCAAAGTCACATCCTGCTTTACAATGATCTCTAAAATGAGCTTAAGCAGTAGCAGGCCTACTGAATGCAACACATCCCCGGATGTGGACTGCTGTTTCCACGAGCACTGGCTGTGGACCAATGCAAGGTGAAATCATTGACAACGTCCGTCTTTTCCCCTGGAGCATGCTGCTACCTATTGGTCTAGCTGTGAGGGGTTTGGTTTCCTATGCATGGAGTGGTCGTCCAGAGTGATGGCTGCAATCCTTGATCTTCATCAGCAAACTCTTTAGGAAGTTTGAGTCCAGTCTTTGGAGAGTGTGGCCAGGACACGAAAGCAAAGGAACAGGAGGCACCGTCTGTCTCCACATGAAGACCGCCTTCAACCCGGGTCATCGAACACCTGACGTGCACCCGGCACTGCCCCGGAGCCTCACCCTTCTCCAAGGTTGGTCGCCTTGTGTGTCGTTTACCTTCGGAGGTCTGCGGATCAGAGAGGTTAGGTGACTTGCTCAAGCCAGAGCTGGGGTGTATGTGAACCCAGGTTTGTCTGTGACTCAAAAGGCCTGTTCTTTGCAGGAAAACTGGAAACAACAGGAAGTGTGTGTGTGTGTGTGTGTGTGTGTGTGTGTGTGTGTGTGTGTGAACACATGGGGTGGCACACCTGAGCATGGCTATCAGGGGTGCATGGGTTAAGGGTTGAATTTCCAGAGTCACTATTACATCAGAAGAGTTCAGATCGCTGCTGTAGGTAACCAGCCCGCCTCTGGTGCTGGCTGTGTAGAGGCTCCTCATCCTGGGAAGCGAGAACACCCAACGGCTACCCCTCCGGTGTGCCACTCACAGGATAGCCTAAAGTAACAGCCCACAGGGCCATCCCTCCAGGGCTCAGCATTCCCACTGCTGTGTCAGCAGCAAGACACCTAGTGCGGAGACCAGAGGGAAGGAGAGGGTGGGGTCTGCCGGTGACTGAGTCTTAATCTCTCTCTGGACTCGGTCACAGAAGCCTGTTTTCCAGATGAGAAACCGGAGGCACAAGAAACTAACCAACATGGCGGGGCACATAGCAACGTTGGTGTCTAGGGCTGGCTCACACCCCGAGGGCATCAGCTCTGTCCAAACGCTGGGCTGGGCTTCCAGGAGGGCTCCCGAAGGGGCTGGGGGCGACCCTGCCTGGGGAGCACCCGCGGGTGCTTACCTCGCACTTCTCCACCACCGGCTGCTGGCCGCACTCGGAGCTGTTGCCGGCCACGATGCCTGCGCGCAGGTTCTCGCTGTCCCCGGTGCCCTCCTCCACGGCGTAGGTCTTGGAGTGGTTGCCGTGGCGCGGGCCAGGGGCGCGGCCCTGGGCCAGGCTGAGCTGCCGCCTGAGGGCTCGGTTCTCTTCCTCCACCTCGCGCACGCGCACCTCCAGGCTCTCACGCTCCCGCTGGCTGGAGGCTGTGTACCGGGGGCTGTGTGCCTGGGACTCCAGCGGAGACAGGGACACGGGCTTCCCATCTAAGGGCACAGAGAGGCCAGGCGAGAGTTAATGCAGGAACAATGCGTGCTCCCCACCCCTGCATGTACCCTAGACACTCCTAACTACATGGAGGGGGCCCTTCGCCGTCTCATTTCCAGGGAAAGCAGATGGTACACGAGTTACAAATAAGCGCATCCAGATTGAACCCGGGACAAAGTTAGGAACAGAAGGACTTAGGCGGGCGATGATAATTAATATGCTGTTGAGTGAAGACAAGCAACACATAATTTGTCCTAATGAAATGCACTGTTATTCTCTCCCTGTTTGGTTTGTTTCTAGGTTGATGCTTCAGCCCATCGAATCGGGGCAGAAGGATGGGGTGGTGGTGGAACGGGAGGAGAAGGTAAACAAGAAGTAGAAGAGAGTAAAAGAAAGAGGAGGAAGCAACTGGCAGAAGGTGAATAAAGACCAGAGTTCATTGAGCTCTTCTTAGGCAAACTCCTATTCATCCTTCAAAATCCTATTTGGGGAACATCACCTCCTAGGTGAAGCCTTCCACAACCCTTAGGCAAATATATCCTTCTGTATATTCCAACAGTATTTTCTCCACAATGGTAGGAGCCCTGGTGGCGTAGTGGATACCGGTTGGACTGCTCACCGAGAGGTAGGCAGTTCCAAACCACCAGCTGCTCCATGGGAGAAAGACAAGGCTTTCTACTGCGATAAAGACTTACCGTCTTGGAAATCCACAATGAACATTCTACTCTGCCCTATAGGGTCTCCAAAAGTCAGAATTGACTGGATGGCAGTCAGTTTGAGCTGTAGGAGAACATGTACCTGCCACTCCAACACTCACTCCCAAAGAGTTGATGTTGACTCAGGGGGATCCTCTAGGACAGGGGAGAATCACCCCTGTGAATTCCCAAAAATTGTAACTATGGGAAGCAGAAAGCACCATCTCTCTCCCAAGGGGAAGCTGGGGGTTCAGAACTCCGATCTTGGGGTTAGAAGTCCAATGGAACTCCCACCACCACCTCCCACAGGGCTCCTCCTGCACCTGCTGCTGGATCGGGTAAACACTTTTATCACATGTTTCCTGGCAAGATTGTGAGTTTTGAGTTGCCTTTAGTTTGATGGCCTCATGGATCATGCTAGCTGAAAAAAATGCTAGAAAGGTGCTGCCCACATCCGTGCTGAGTAAAATAATGCACCGCGATGGGGGAGGAACAAGTCAGGAGGACTGACTCATCTTAGGGCTTTCCCAGGAAAACCATTACCATCAAACTGCTTGCAGGCAATATCCCAATTTAGCAGTCCCACAACCCTGCGATAGTGGCTGTTGACACACACAGAGGATCAGGAGACCACCTGAAGCCACACAACCAAAGCAGGGTGCTGCTAGAATTCCCAGCAGGTCTGTCCCATGCCTGCACACCCCACTTTCCTAGGAAGGGCATCATCGAACATGTGCCTTAAGCAAGGTATCAACTCAGAGACTCCCTCCCCCAAGGATGCTTAGCATAGGCCTCTGTAGACAGTAGGCTCTCCATGCACTCTGTCTTCTGAGGAGTCCTGGCAGCACAAGAGACCCATAAAGCTTTCTCTTTTCTCTCATCTTACACTGCAGAGGTCACGGGCTTCAGAAACACCCACTGTGGCCACAACAACCAACCAAGCAAAACAAACAAACAAAATCCCCACATCTCTAGAAAACTGCCTTGCTCAGCCTCCTGTCCAGAAATAAAATAAAATAGAACCAGAAAACAGGTTCCTCTTTTTCCACACTTGGGGATTTTCTCCTTGCAGCTCAGACCCCACTGAGCTTCCACACTGTCCCAGGGAGTCTCTGTGACTCACAAAGTTCAAGATCAAAG